TTGTTGTACGTGCTTTGGCAAAACCAGCTTTCTTGGCTGACCCACAAAGCCTTGAAATTCAAAGTGAAATTGCCTGAGAGAGGGATTTGCGTGTGTGAGTAACTGTGCACACATTGTGCTAACAACCCAAAGAAAGAGATGAGTATGTTTTGAAAACACATTCGTATCGCTCCTATCTTCTGGACGGTCAGTGGCAATACGTCTGTGGCTTATGAATGTGCTGCTCCGACGAAGCCCTGGAGTTCAGATGTGTGTGACAGAAAGTTGCAGCCGGCACCACACTGTCAGAAACCCAGACAGCCTCATTCAACACTGCGCAGACCTCCTGCAGCTGATCTGAAACGCAAATGTGTTATCACGTGTCACTATCGCACTGGCCGGAACAGCCCTGCTGTTTCCCATCTTCAGGAAGAAAAGCAGGAATTTCCAACTGATTGCCAGCCTAATCTCTCTTCATCCCGACAAGATTACTGTACACTCAACAGGTGCTGTCAGCCGGAGGAATGACCTCATTCTGAGCTTGCTACATTGTCTGTGGTCCTTCTTTCCCAGAATTCACACTTGCCTTCGATCTGTTAAGCAATCAGGCCCATGATGTCATCTGGGGCCGGCTATCGTTCAGGGGCCTGGGCTCCGAGTGTCGCAGCAGATCGGGCAGTGAGTCATTCTCTCCCAGCATTCCCAGGTAACCGAGTCTCAGTAAGTGTGATGCAGCTTCTGAACTGTCCATCAGATAGTACCAATTGAGAACCATTTCTCACAAATTCCTGCAGTCCCTTTGGGTATTTACTGTCAGACAGGAGGGCAGTGCACAGAGATTGATCATGGAACAATTCAGGAAATTGAAACAGTGGAATCTTTTGTTTGTACCATGTTTATTGCACACCTTTATTTCACCATGAGGTGTGACAAGCAGTGTGATTACTTCTCCCATGACCTCTCTGCGCGTTATCCAGTTTTACTGGGATCCACACTGAAAATGTTCAGGACACAAGAGGGGAGCAGCCCAGCTCCAACATGCTGAGTTCCTGAGTGACCGTTCCACTCATTTGACCCACTCGGGCTCGCCTGAGGCCACTGGAAGATAATCAAAGATAATAATAATTGCTTCCACTTATATAGCGCTTTTCTGGACACTCCACTCAAAACACTTTACAGGTAATGGGGATCCCCTCCACCACCACCAGTGTGCAGCCCCACCTGGATGATACTCCAGTACTCTCCCCACACACCAGCTCTCGGTGGGGAGGAAAGCAGAGTGATGAAACCAGTTCATGATTGGCCATGATTGGTAAAGGTCAGGGGGAAATTTGGCCAGGACACCAGGGTAACACCCCTACTCTTTTTGAGAAACGCCCTGGGATTTTTAATGACCACTGAGAGTCTGAAGGATGGCACTTTTTTACAGTATACTAGGGCATTAGGACACACACAGACCACAGGGTGAGCGCCCCACTAACGCCTCTTCCAGCAGCAACCTTAGCTTTCCCAGGAGTCTACAATCCAGGTACTGACCAGGCTCACACCTGCTGAGCTTCAGTGGGCTGCCAGCTGTGAGCTGCAGGGTGATACAGCTGCTGGCAAAGATAGAGGTGCCTGTTCAGCAACGCTCCGTCACTGTGTGCTTGCTCAAGAGCTCGTTCAGAATCCAGGTGTCCTACCGTGAAAGCGATCACGTGTCCATAACAGAAAACCCATCCTGTACCACAGCAGTGGCGTCATGCAGGAGGCGGTGCTGTACCCCTGCTGCACCAGTGCAAATCTCCAGCCAGTCCCCGACAGCGGGGGGCAGCGGCGAGGGTCCTGTGTGTTCCTTGGAGTCCTGTCTGGTATTGTCCTCCCTCTGCTGGCCCACTCCCGCGTCTCCTGATAAGGAATGTTTGGTTTGGCAGGATCTCGTTACACCGGGAAGCAGAGAAGTCTGACAGCGGCCCTGCACAGCCCCCCACCCCCACCCCCTTCTCTCGCAGCAACATGCCTCTGCATTGTCCAGCCCCCCCCGTTCCAGATCTCCCCCAGCTGCTCTCCCCCGTCTCCCCCCTGAGTCGCAGAGCGAGAGGAGGCTGGGACAGGATTCCACCGCCCGCCCCTCCGCTCCGCCAACAACACCCCCTCCTCCACCCCCCCCGCCACGCCGCGGGGAGAGAGAGGGGCTGGCTCCCCTCCCGTGCTGTACAAGCGCACTGTGTGAGAGAGGCAGCCGGCCAGCCAGGTAGTGTCTGGTGGAGGCTGGGAGGATCGCAGAGCCTCAGAGAGAGAGAGGGAGAGAGAGAGAGATTGAGGAGGACGGGACGCTGGAAGGCGAGGAGGAGAGAAAAGAAACCCACAACATAAACAGAGGGACAGATTCCAGCAGCTGACAGGGCTGTGGTGCCCCCCCCCCTCCTCCTCCAGGCCTGGGGAGTAACAGATTAACCTGGACGGGTGACTCGTGCTTTAAACCCGGCTGCCAGCGGAGGAGCCGTCACAGAGCAGCAGAGCGCGGCGCGCAGAGCACAGGCTGTCAGCCAGACGCAGAGCAGGTCCGTGTGCGCCCGGGGTTCGAGGACTGCCCTGCTGCCAACCTCCAGGCACCGGACAGGCGGCCTGTCTCAGGCCAACTTTTTATAGCCTTTTCTCAGAAGTTTTTTTCCAGCCAGAATCATTGCACCACGTACTTTTTTTTCCCCTAGGATTTTTCAGGAGAGCAGATGAGCAGAGTTTAGTCACTGCTGTATTTTTTCAACAGAGCCCGGACGCCGCCAGTTCGCTACAGAGCTGAGGACACACTGGTTCAGCATTAAATGAAGGAGTCTCGGAGGCTTCAGAGGGGCTTTTCCTAGACGACCCAGCGGTGTTATCTCCCCGTCCCCAGGCTCTTCGGCCAGCAGTGGCAGACTCTCTGGGCTCTGGACAAGCACTGGACTCTCAGCAGTGTCCGACAGCCAGAGGGAGGCTGTGTTCCTGCCCGCCGGTGGGAGGCGCTGAGCTCCAGGAGAGCATGGACGGCAGCGAGCTGGCCGGGCTGGACGGCGCCGAGGCGCAGGCCGTGTGCGAGGCGCTGGGCCGCTACGAGACCACCCTGCAGGACGCGGTGCGGGAGATCCACGTGGACATCAGCGTGTTCAAGCAGGGCGTGGAGCGGCGGGTGGAGGAGGCGCTGGGCCTGGTCAGCCCGCTCGGCCGGGCGGTGGCCGAGCTGCAGCGCGAGAACCGCCAGCTCCGCGGCCAGCTGGAGGCGCTCACGCG